GCTGATCTCCCCAGAGTTTATGAACAAAACCCTAAATACAAAACCCTAAACCCTAAATACTAAACCCTACACGATAAACCCTAAACCCTAAACCCCTTAAATCCTAAACCCTAAACCCTAAACCCCTTAAATCCTAAACCCTAAACCCCTTAAATCCTAAACCCTAAACCCTAAACCCCTTAAATCCTAAACCCTAGACCCTCTGGAGTTCAGGGGCCAGAAACCGGCATGTTTTGTCTGAGGCCGCCTTCCGACTCCACGATGGGTCGGATCGCGGCATCGAAGGACAAGCCGTGAACAGGCCTCAAAAGGTCGATGCGATGGTTGGGTTTTGGGGTTTTGGGGTTTTAGGGTTTAGGGTTTAGGGTTTAGGGTTTAGGGTTTAGTACAGCAGCTGGGGATCTGTCTATGGGAACGGACGTGGATGGTTGAAGTGGCAAAACAGAAAGGCAAACCTTTGTCTCTGACGAACTACAACACGTTCCAGGCAGTGGTGGCGCTGAGGAGTGGAATTGTGCCGCGGTGGAGCTGCTTCTTCACTGCCGCCTTCGTCGCAAACCACCTTTACCCACCGCTCCTGGTGACTCCATCTTGCCGAGTATGTACGGTAGTCGGTAGTCAGGCATTGCTACTAGGGTGCCTTGGTGTCGGCATATCCTTACGCCCATCAACAGCACCTGCCTTGTCGGAACGAATTTATTGCTTGAGACGGGGCTTGTGCAATCTGTCGCAATGTGTGGAACCTCCAGCCTCATATCTCCTCAACTCAGCCGCAAGAGTCCGGCAACTCGGCTAAGCTCAACACGTACCGTTCACAAACACGAGGTGATAGCCTGCCTCTGTGCAGATAAGACTGTACCAAGAATATGGTGGCACCGCAGCAGAGCACATTCCTTAAGCGACCGCCGCGAATCACCGCTGTGTGGCGCGCTCAAAAGCGATTCCGACGTGCACTGGCGAGATCCTACTACGAGATGCCTGCACAAAGGCACGGCTCGCCCGCCCACTATTCCGACCTTTCCGGTAGTCTAAATGGATTTTCCGACCTCTCTCATATCTGCCAGTCCCAACATCTCTGCTTGTGGCTTGGTGGTCCTTGGGCCAGTCTGAGAGCCTGGCTCTGAGCAAACCGGTTTGGTCAGCATTGGATGCTGGCTGCACCTGCCAACGCCATCTTCTGTCTGCCACAGAGCCACGTGCCTCGCAGGTTCACGCCTTGCCGATCAGGACACCTCCACCCTCATCTGCCTTGGCGACAGATTGGGTAGTTGTCAAAATTATGGTCCCTTTTGGGGTACCCTAAATAATAGGTGCCGTATTATAATAAGGACCCAAAAAGGGACCATAATTTTGACAACCACCCAGATGTATTACGGGGAGACTCAGGTACTGAATTTGCCAAGCCGCCCCGTTCTCCAGGAACTCTAAACCCAATGGCTTGTCCAGACTGACGGAGACATAATTCCTCGGCGCTTCACTTGTTGACATCAATGCCATCTAGCAGGTAGTAAATGCAAGTTGCCGCCATTCAGGGGCTGGGTAATGACGCCTTCAATGCTCGGGCGCTGACATCTCATCGCGGGAGTCCATAAACGGATCCAAATCATCCCGGGAAGCGATGATACCCTGGGGGCCGGGTTCCAAAAAGATCAACTTCATCGAGGCTCTGCTCTGCGCCGGACGAGCAGAGATCTGCTTGTACCCAGAGACTCCAATATCCCTTAATTAAGGAATCTACCTTAAATGATAGTAGGATCCTTAATATGATTTAAGGTATATTCCTTAATTAAGGGATCTTGGAGTCTCTGGGTAGGGAAACTCTCCAGACCTCCAAGGCTCAGGCTTTGTCCCACCCAAACCTGCGGTCGTCTGCCGCGGCTTGCGCTGTCGGACGACCGCATCTCGGACTTCTGAGGGCAGCGCAGGCGATCGATTGGCGTGACTCTCTGCGCCGCAGTCACCTCCTCGGGAGAAAAAAAAGAGAAGGCAAAGCGAAGGTGGCAAAGCATGGAAAAACGTTGAAGATCATGAAGATCACTGAGGCCCTGCTTCGGATTCGAAGCTGCGCGCTCATAAAAAAAATATAAAAAACACTCGGCAAGCTCGGTCGGGTTGTGGTGATCAGCCGAAGCAACATCACAGCCCGTCCTTGTCGTAGGCCTCATTCAAGCCCAGCCCTTCCTGCACGGCAAGCCATGACTAAACCTCAAAGTTTCAAGCGAAGGGAAGCGGCTGAGTCCTGGAGCGACTTGGCAAACTCCGCACCGAAGTCGGGCTCGGGCTTCACGTCCGGCGGCTCAGAAGACAGGGGAAGCGCCGGGAAGGCTTCGACCACGGAATGCATGGCAGCACCTCTCTCGGAAGCCCGACTTTGACCCTATAATTTTCAGGAAGGCACTTGAGCTCTCAGGGAGCTTCCCGATGAGCCTCCTCAGAGCTAGAAGCAAAGCAGCAAAGTGGACAACAGTGTTCAACAGGAAGGCTCTGGACACTGTCTGTTTGCGTCGCGATATGGGGGGCTTTTGCCATGACTGCAGGTTGGTTTCAAGTCTCGGCTTCTTTGACGATCCTAGGCTTCTTCGCATCAAAAGCTGCAACGCTCGTCTGAATTGCTAGGCAGCCAGGCTAGATATGACGAGCTTGTCGTTGCAGAAGCCCAAGGCCTTACATGGGTCGGCTTCAGTCGGCGGGGATGGGACTGTGTGTGAGGCTGGGGCATGAGCTGGCCACTGCACTGGACCGAAGAGGAGTGCCGCAAGGGCAGCTACGGTGACCGGCCTTGTTCAGTCAGCTTGCAGGGAAAGTCAGTGGCACAAACATAGCTATCATGACTCATGACTCAAACCGTTCCATATCTGTCATGATATCAGCCCACAACGGGGCCCTAAAAAAACATCCAAGCCGGCACGACTCCGCTGTCGGAACCGCGAAGCCCCAAGTGGCCTTCTCAAGGAGGTCCGAGCCCTAGAAGCCATCTCGCCGGGGACTTCTGGCGCTTGATCCGGTTATGAGAAGACTCATGGCAAGGGTAGTAAGTATAGGAAATACCTCTGATAGTCTGGTCAAACCCTAAACCCTAAACTACACCCTAAACCCTAAACCCTAAACCCTAAACCGTGGGGACTGGACAGCAGGTAAAGAGCTCCACTGCAATGTTTGGAGTGGCGTGAGGCAGCAGCAAGTATTTCGAGCTATGAACGAGCGAAGCCATCTAGTGAAGCATGGCGCCGGAGCGAAGATACAAGAATATGCTGAGCTGCAGTCATGTGAAGGGTCTGTTTGCGAGGCTAGTCGCGGCTCATAGATCCAGATGCAGCAGATGAGCCAAAATTGTATGAAGCACCGTGAGTGGACTGCAACCCTGTCGTCGGGCACTTGCACCAGGAAGTATTACTATTACTATTACTATTACTATTACTATTATTCTTCTAATTAGTATTGTATTACTACTATTATTGTTCTTAAAAATTTTGTCTCTTTAGAAGCTCCACGCTCGAATAACCTTTCCTCCTTTTCCGTTGCCCTTCGGGCATGGCGTGGAATAGCGCTGCTCCAGCAGCCTTTCTGAGTGGCTGTCGGTGGAATTGATGTAGAGTACAGGCCAGGCCCTGCGCAATCCTTCTACAACTGACATCCTACATGAGCTGTGTCGCCAAGTGAAACTCAACGGCTTAACGGCGATGCACCTGTCGTTTTGATCAACAGGTCACATGCTCAGCCAATTCGGGCAAGCTGGTTGAATGCGGCAGGAAAAAACTTGCTGTCATGGGAAGAATCGAATCGATTCGCTTTCCCAATGTGGTTTAGATGCACCTCTTCTACTCTTTGCTCCTTCCGTGGCATGCGCTCCTACGCTTCAGCCATGTGCAGCTCATCTTTGGGCTCCTGCGAAGTCGAGTCCTTTGCCTTGCGCCAGGGGCACCAGGTCACCATACCAGTCCATGCAAGGACAGGCGTGGCTGATCAAACGTACGTAGGACGTTGGCTAACAGGAACAAGGCAAAGCACAGCGTCCCGAAAGCAACTTCTCTCTCGCCTCGGTCTCCAAGGGAGTACCTTTGCTGCCCGGCAATAAGGGCACATGTGCTCGATAGCTCCATCAGTGCTGCTCCATGAGGCAAGTCGTTTAGATCTAGCCAGGCTGTCATTTACACACCTCCGATACCTCTCAGTCACAGTTCACCGCCTAGATATACTGTGTGTCGCACCTCCGCGATCTGGGAAGATTGTGGATGTTGTTTCCTGCGGAGGCAGGGCGAGTAACTGGCCTACACCTTCGGACCAGCACTAGACTGAAAGCTCGAACGGAACGACTCGCCGGCTTTCCCACTTCGGCTACAAGCAATGTCATGGTAGCCGCACGCAGCTCTCGAGAGTAGCTAGTTGAACCCTGCAGCGAGCCTTGAGCGTCCAGACCTCAACGCCACTAGACGTGGTCATGGGCCGAGTGGATGCCTCCCGGGTCCCGCTTCGAGAGAAAGAGGGCGAGGGAGAGAGATAGAACTCGGTGCACAGAGCAGGTTCCAGATTGCATAAAAGCATTCCTGGCATTGTGATGCATTGTGTGCATCACTCCAAAAAACCCGGCCAACGCTCCAGGAATAGGATTACGAAGCACTGCGGGGCTTGGGTCTCTTCTCGCCTCCGCAGTGTGCGGTGTGAGCCCAGTCGGCGAGAAACCACCTGCGGCGGTTTCAACTTCGACATTGGCATTGCCCAGATGAGGTATAAAAGCATCTTCGTCTCCGAATGCAGCGGGCTACACTCGGAAGCACGGCTCGTGGTGTGTCCATGCTAAAAGCGAAATGGCTGGCAACGACGTGCTGTAAAGGCGAAAGCACGGCTCTTCAGAGCTCCGGGACCCCGGCGCCAGGCGTCGAAGGGCATCAGAATCTGCGCAACCTCCGCCAAACCACGGCGGTGTGCCTTCAACTGTCAAGGCAGTGCAAAGAGGGGTCGCCTTATGCATTGCAGTCTCGCTCCAGACCTCTTCAGCTGCTCCACTGCAGCGCATCATTGCCTCAGACAACAGCAAGGCACAGATCCTTCTCCGAAAAAACCCAAGGCTTACAAGTAAGACTAAACGCCTAAACTCCTGAAGCGCCAAAGCTTTAGAATGCAAACCCCAATCCCCCCGCATTACCTGCATCCCAAACACCACAGATCTACGGCAATGGCTGCAAGATGCAAGGCCAAGGAACGGCTTGGAAAGCAAGCTTCGCATTGTCACGGACATCTAAAGCCTGGGACCACTGTGCAAGTTCGGTAGGGTTTAGGAAACGCTTTAGTAATTGCGGCTGTTGAGGGTTTGGGGCTTCAGGGTTAGGGCCTTGAGGGTTTGAGCGTTTTAGGGTGTACCAGCAAGAGCTAAAGGGTCCCAGGAGAAGCGTGCAGCCTCAGACTCTGCTTCCCAGATTCTTGGACCGCACCCTTTGCCACTCGCCTTTCACCAGCAAAGTCTCAGGAAAGCCGAGAAGTGGTCATCTCGGCCCCGCAACACTCTGCGGCTAAAACAAACCGCATGTCATCCCTTCGACACTAACTATGCGTAACCATGGCTTCTTCTGAGGGCAAGGGCACAAAAAAACGTAAATTGCAAAGGACCTGCTGGGCTTAAGGCCTGCAGGGTTTTCGGGTGTGGGAAGTCCAGGAATCTTGCTTACCCAAGTTCGGTGATTATCAGAAGGGTTCATCCCAGAGCGGACTATTTGGGCTGCATGCGCTTGGGCTCAACCCCTTCTAGCCCCACATCGTTATAATCCACCCCAAAACCCACGACAATATGCAACTTCTGAGGCTTTTGTCGACGATGCCACAGCTTTTGTCACGGCCGTTCAGGCTCGACAGCTGGGGCGCCCCTTTTAGAGGACTAGCTCTGTTAGCTGTGTAGCTGAGCCACGGATTCGAGCAGTGCGCTCGTGGTGAAAGGATCGCAGGGCACGGAGCCCTTGTTTTGCTTGCTGTTGTGACTGATTGATAAAGCTTTCTGCTAGAGCCCAATTCCTACCATTGTAGCTACTCGCTGCCCAGTACTACCAGTAGGAGCCTACTTGAGCATTAAAAAAAAGGGTCCCTTTGCCTTGCAGTCACGGGCGTTTTCCCACGTTTGGGGCAACTTCCCCCCGAGGATTCTGAGGCGAAGGCTTCGGAAGCCCGGCGCTCGGCGGCCTGCACGTTCTCAGCAAAGCGGTCTTGCGCAATGCGGACCTGGCACATGGCTTAGGGTGTAGGGACTTGTCTATATTTTAGGGGCGTCAGGGGTTTAGAGTTTAGGGCTTTAGGGCCTCGGAGAAACTGAGCTCGTTTCATGTAATCCACCTCGACGCCTTCTGACCCTCTTTCAGCCACTCAGGCTGGGTAAGTGCGGACCACAGCTCGATCGGCCCTTGAAGGCTCCTGAATTGCCCAGTGCACCCTTGCTGCCTTCTCTTGGGCCATCTCCTTCCCGAGTTGAACTCGCTCAAGGCAGCGGCGACGTACATCCTGTCGCGACACGGTCCCCACACGCCCCCTAACACCCGTATGATCTCCCGCCCCCACTCAAATACCTCTCGTCTCCAACGTGAGCATCCTTATTTGCATCTACGGGGCGACGCCGCTTCATGAAGCTTTGCATTGAGAGTCTTGCGCTCATGCGTTCTGCATGCATGCACAAGACAGGAAGAGCACATCATTCACCTACTTGACTGCAAAAGACCTTCCGTGAGCGGTCCAAGCTCTTTCTTTACCCGTCGTTGTAGCTGCTGCGTAATTGGGATGGATGGCTGGCTGAGACGGTGAAGTGAAAGGGGGCCAACCGCTCGCCAACGCCAAGATCATCATGCAATGCTGACTCCGACACTTGGCGTGAACATCGGTAGACCGCCCGAGATGAAAGAACCACATATCCAGCTGTTGGATTAGAGTGGGTATTCATGGGGATGGGCAGGCGCGCGCCTGAGCGCACGAGAGCATTTTAGCATACCACCCTGGCGTAGAACTTCTTTGAGGAAGGCGCGCAGACATGAGCTGCTTTCATCTGCTTTGGTGTATGCCGTCCCCTATCATTGTCCTCTGTTTTGCTCTGCTCACACCACTTGCCTGGACGTGTCTTTTCATCTGCTCCAGGCGTGCTTCGGCCTGCGGCTTTCAGCAACAAGGCGCGACAAGGAGAGCAAGCCCTGTGCTTCTAGGGTTTAGGGGTTTGGGTTATATTTATAATAACGAACCCCCAAACCCATAAACCCTCCAGACCCAGCCTGACGCCGGGATTCTGCCGACTTCTGCTGGCAGAAAGCCTCCCGAGACGTCCGGAAATAGTGTAGCATGGTATGGTATGCTGTGCTATACTCTACTCGAAAACTATACTACATGCTACGATACTGTGCTATAATATACTAGACTAGACTATACTCCAAACGATACGATACTAGACTCTACTCTATACTGTACTCTATACTAGACTCTACACTAAACTCTATACGATACTATACTACACTATACTGTACACTGTACTCTATCCTGTATCCCTTCTGCCATATGCTTAGCCGTATACATACTATATTATGTACAATACTATACTGTGTACGTGTGCACATACGATACCATACTAGATGCTTCAAAACATACTTTAAACCATACTATACCCCACCACACCATACCGTACCGTGCCATGCCATACTGCATGTACTACATACTTTCTGCCATGTACCATATAATATATACTATATACTTTCTACTGTCTATAATACTCTAATATTCTATTATACTATGTACTGGAGTTTTTGCCATATACTATGTACTATACTCTACAGTATTCTTCTTTATCTTACCACACAATACAACACAAAGCTATATTATACGGTGCGAAACTGGCAAGCCTGATTGAATGAGGCCACCTGGGGGTTTCCGAAAATAGGGGACCCTAATATAGTACCCTAAACACCAGGATCCTTATTATAAGGACCCCAAAATAAGGTACCTTGTTTTCAGAAACCCCCACCGGGTCTGATTCTGGATTACTCGATGGCATGACGCTTCCGCAGCAACCGAGAGGTCCGAGATCGCCAACTGCGAGTTTCAGAAAGCTAGGGCCTGATTTGGGAGTTTCCCTTGTTTGGGGAGTCCTTATAATAAGGATCCTACTATTTAGGGTACTATATCCGGGTCCCCTATTTTCGGAAACCCCCATTTTGAACCCTAGCAACTGAATCTTATCGTAAAGGCCCCTAGCACATCAACCCCAGCTGTAAGAAACTCCCACATTCCATCCTCAACCCTCAACCCCCGATACCCCAAACCCTAAACCCT